TTGAACAGGCTCTTAACCAAAATGCGTAATCAGATCTCCAAGCATGAAGTGAGATTTACTTATTAACGTTGGCTGCACAAAATACACTTGTGGAGTCATTGCATACCTTTTGGCTTTTTTTAAAGATTTGGCGCACAGATTATCTGTCTCGTCTGCACGGCCGACTCGTCTCGAGTTCGTAAGAGAGAACCCTATAGAACACACGAGCAAGTCCTGTACCTTCACGGCCGGAGTAGTTTCACCATGTAACATGTGACTCCGCTGGCGGTCCGATGGAAGATCAGGCATTGATTAGGATATACTTTCACTTCCAAGGTTAAAGGTACAGCCCTGCGACTACTTGCTCATGCCACTGCTGGCAGGACTTCCAAATACCCCACTGAGGGAGCTCTAGAGGGTATCTTGCCTACTCTTTCACGCTGGCCAAACGTCTACCTATATTTTACCCCACCTCACGCAACCTGCCGATCAACAACTGTGCTGTTGCCCATTTCCACTGCCGGGCGGACAGAGGCTGTGGGGGGGATTTCAGAAACGTGTAAAATGGTTTCGACTGCCACGCTCGGAGAGTGGATCGAAGCGATGACCCCCAGATTGGCATTCCAGTGTGCTCACCATTACACCGTGGCAGCATCCCACTTCATTTTATTTCTTTAGTAGGAAGAGAGCTTTCTTAATTCCACGACGGGCCATACGCAAGGATGAATTCGCTTCCCTGTCTTGAGATAGAGAAATGTAGCCAGTGTTTGTAACACTAATTCCGGGATTAACTGTTACCCATAAATCATGGTGCACTGAAACCACAGGGCTCTGGTTTATGTCCGAGGACATCTAAACAAATAATGGCGGATGATCCCACCGGGTGGTGGCAGTGGATAAGAGCACACGGCTCGCAAATGAGAACGTTACAAGTTCAATTCCTGGGGTGGGGCTCGACTCAACACATCATTCTTCTTGGGTCGATACATTAAGAACCACTCTGTGGGTCAACAGCGGTTGTCCTATTGAGACACTTGCTTCCACTGTAAGAAAGTGGAATTTCCACGACTGCCCACCGCAAGGCCGTAGACACAAGAGCACAGCTTCCTGCTCGTGTGAACAGGAACACAATTTGACATTTTTTTAAGGGTAACTTTAAAAAGTAATCAGCCCGTGATTACTGATTACTAATGATGAGAAGTCGTGTATTCCTGTATTTTGCGTTTATATTTCTTAAGTGCCGTCTACCTCCTTTATTTATTTTACGATTCAAACGTGAGTTAAAATGTGTTCTTGTTCGATCGAATCGTCATCTCAACTGGCAGCCCCAAGGTTTGCGGTGGGGATTCCGCACGGGCATCAGAGGTCAGTTATTCTTAGGACGATCATTGTTGACTTCCCGCAAAGTGGTGCTTATTTTATTGACCGCACAAGGATGACGAGCTTAGCGAAGCCTGGCCCTGATTTAAAACATTTCCTAGCTTAATATTGGGAGTAAAGTGCCCTGAACGCATTGCCACCTTGGGCCAATACTCTTACCATGCCTTACTAGCTTTAAAACCCCTGAGCGGATGCACCGAGTCCCCCAAATAATATGGGGTTCATGGAGGACCCCTAATTTTTTAAATAAAAGTGGGTATTTTTTTCGTACTAATTGCTCTCCCAGAGCTCAAGAACTTAAGTGCGAGCAAAGCCCTGCTGACTTGTGGTTATTCACATCACCATGCTGCGTGAATTACGATGGTTTCATTTGTTTGGTTTTCCTTTCACATTGCCTTGGATAATCTTTGGAATATAATAATCAATGCTACAGCAAATAATATCACAAGCTTAAAGTAATCGGGTCTGTTAATAAAACGAACAAACATCATGGGAAAGAGAATATCTCACAATACCAGAAGTGGAGAAAGCTACATGAAAATACCTTGCCTTTAGTGCAGTATTATTATCCTTGATATTATCTACACAACTGACAAAAACCGGGACTTTTGATGTCCTTGGAAAATTGATAGATTTCCGAGGATTGCCACCTTAACAATGAGGACACCAAGGGAAGACCAGGGCAGGTGCCGACCCTACGTCGTGCGTCCCTTGTAAGCGGCACCGTTCCCCAACACTCGACTACAGCACTGCAAGCTGCTTAGCGACTTACCGTGCAATGCACACACAGCTGCCAATGTTTGGAGGTACAAACGCGAGTCTTCGTTTAGGCTTTGATCCCCTAAGGGTGAGCTGAACACGCGTTTCTCTAAACAACGAGCGCGTACGTGTGCACGTACTCAGTCATTCAAGTATCCCAGTGACGAGCCACTGGTAAACTGTGCATTGGCTTAGGGGCCCCATCATCCATGCGGGGCTCATCAAATCAGTTTCGCTTTTCGAGAAATCACCAGCGGTTTGTTCTGTGTGTAGGCGGGATCGCAACCATAGGCATGTGGAATTTTCACCGCCGCCAATAAGAGTTGAGCGCTACAGCACTCGCTGGAACAGGAACACACTTTGATGACTCTATGGATACAGTCGACCGAAGTCGCACCCCTCGATAAACTGGTTCCCGCCAAAGGAATGTGGAATGTCTACCCAATGGCTCAAGATAGCCAACACGCATTTGCAGTACAGTCCCACACTCGCTTGGGCAGGCTGATGCTGCCTTTATTCGTATCCGAATAATTACAATCGTTTTCCATAAGTTTTTTGGGTTAGAACGTGAATGTGTCGTTAAACCTGCCAGAACTTGACAAACACAATTAGTAAGGTTTGTCACGTGAACATATCAATTCGTTACAAGTACAGCACACCGCTGTGTTGGAGAGCAAATCCACATTTACAATCGGAGTACGACGTTTCGCCAGTAATTACAACTAGCTTCATTAGGCGGACAGCCATATTTGTAGAGCAATCCTCCTGTTTTAAGGAACGATTGTATAAACCTTCCAAGGACATCAAACGGGTTTAACGACACATTGATATTTATGCGATCTAACCCCCAAAAAAACTATATTATGGATATCAGTCGCGAAAGCCTACGTGTTACACAATAGTTTTATTAACTTAAGAAAGAAATGTCTTAATCGTTTTTCCAGTCGTTGGCCTAACGCACACACCTAGAGCTCCTTATTCGGCTCGGCGGTGTTTGGTTTGGTGCTCGATGCACAATTAGAAGGCTCCGGGTCGGTCGATGCTGATTTAATGGGTTCCAGCAGTTTTTGTAATAAGACTGTCTACTGGCATGGACATGTGGAATTTACAACGCTGACTCAATGTTTCTAATGGATTATGCACCATCCCACACTCTAATCAGAGCATAATGTTGGTTACGTTTGACAATTTAACTCATGGCAATGTGGGTAATCGGTCTGCCACCCAAAAATGTGAATGGAACTGCCAACTTGAATTGCAATACTGCTTCAATCCCACATAATGCACACACCAATATTTACAATGCAGCAGCACACTGAGAGTCGGCCACTATCTAATTGAAACCAGCCACTAAACAGTGGAATTCGCAAAGCAGGGCTCGGACGCACCCGCCTACACACTCGCCTACAAGCACCACCCACACAAGCTCACTGGCAAGTCTGACTCACACACCCTGGGAGCATGACGTCAGTTCAGTGTTTTTCAGCCACGTGACTGCCAATAAGGTCGCAGACAGGCAAATGCACGTTACGTTCCACAGCGCTAGGCAACAAGGCCGTCTGACTTCAGGATTTTAGGCGAGTGCCCCAAGAGCGCATTGGCTGTGGGTTAGGTTTGACTGTGTGTTCGTACGTTGTGTTGTTCGGTACAATGTCAGACATTTCACTCCACATGCTGGGAACGTCTTCAGGAACTGGAATATTTTTTTTGTGAACTAAAATACAGTTAGATTTAACAGCACACACAGATGTAGAGATTTTGTACATGCATTGCACAACTTCCTGTTGCGAGATATTTTTGTTCCGACCTGCACTAGTGTGTCTGCCGTGATGGGATGGAGCGTTTTTTCCATCACTTAAAGAGGCGAATTATTTGAACGCAGTGTCTGAACCAGCCCTAAGCACGTGGAGTGAAATGTCAGGCATCATGCCAAACAACATATGGTACAACCCAAAAACACATCGGAGATATTCAGCACAAATAGCTAAATCTACGAATAATCCAGTACTTTGTAAAGTGGTTATAATATGCATACACTGGCCCATTTCATGTTAATGTGTACTTCCCTTCATTTCAGGACTACCAATGGAAAGCGGCACAACCCACACGGGAAGGCATTTACTTGATCTTACTGGCGAGTACAGGCCCTTTAAATTAGTTCAAATCTCATCCAAGTTCAACCTGACCTCATCAAAACAAATCATTCCTCCTGGAAGCCCAACATGAACAGTGATTGCTCTAAGGAGATGCTGGCTCTGCTACAATAACCTGGAATTTAAAGAGGCCTAGCACCACCAATGGATATGTATATCAACTGGACATCTGTGAAAAATAACTTCATAGCTCATTGGATTCTTCCAGTTGCAATACAGATTCTGATAAAGATTCCTATTCTGAAAGATGCAATGCCCTTTCCACCAGTTTTACACATACAGTATATACTCTACTATATACTATTTTTATTTGACCAGGTAAGGCCCACTGAGCTCTTTTTTAGAAGCGACCTGGCCACAAATTATAGCTCAACTAAGCGGCTTATCATGTGGAGATTTACAGCAGCCAATTCTCAAAACACCAGTTTCTAAATGTGGAGGAAAATACCGGAGCACGCAGAGAAAAATCCACACGACCACGGGGAGAACACACAACCTCCAAATATAGAGGCATCAGGGTCGAGATGGAACCCACAACCTCCTGTATACCAGGCGAGGTAGTTAACATTTCGAGACTGTAGCACCATTGATAGTCTAGCAGCAGAGCGTCCACGGTGGACGTTCACAGTTCAAACCCAGTGGCATCCTCGATTAAATTCTGCGAGTATATTAATCCGAAAAAAATTACCCACAAATGACTCAACTGGTACATACATGGCAATTATCCCCCCCCCCCCCCCCCAAATGCAGAAACCATGTCAGGCTTTTCCTGGATAAACCACCTGCATATATGTTTCAAGTCAAAGTGTTCCCCTGCCCAAACAACCGTGTGTGGCAGTGCCCATTTTCTTCTCTTGGCGACCCCGGGAGCCAGCGATGGAAATTCCACATTATCATGGTGTCGACAAATCCGTTGAAGACTTCCTACCTAAAATGTTGTGCCATTGTTTAAGAAAGCAGCGTACACTGCTTGTGCAATTGCTTGTGCAATTACTGCCTCTGAGTCATCCAAGCTCACGTAAAGATTTTAAAATTAACTTATTTTCACGGAAATAACTTTATTTGGGTTCTTTTAAAAAAATGCGTGGGCAAAAAGTCGGGGGGGGGGGGTCTGTTCTTTTTTATCACAAGAGGATAAGGGATTCGTTTAAAGGAGTCCCGTGAAACTCATTCCATTATTGACAACTTGTTAAATTGTGAAATATACACAGCTGCAGTGCTTGAACTGTATACCATGTGTGTACCTGTTCATACATGTCTGTAAACATACATGTATATGTAAGTGTAAGCGTGTACATGTACACAGTGAAGTGTGTATATAAACTTAGTGCAAGAGTGCAAATGTCTGTACATAGATGTGTTGTGTATAGATGAGCGTACATGGGTAAGTGTACGTGTATAGGCTTTAAGTATGTTTCCAGCACTTCCAAAAAGGCCTAAAAAAAACCTATAAGGGGACTTTTTGTCTTTGTGTACAGATGAATGTACATGTGTGCGAGTTGTATGTGTACAGGTTTTATACGTGTGTACAGTATGAGTGCACATGTACGTGTGTCTACAAACTCAGTTTACACATCACAAAGCCCATAAAAAGTAAACCGATTTTCATGTTCAACACAAACAGCAGGCGCATGATAGGACCAAATTATATGTTGAGTAATCCCCAAAAATAGTACCTTAAATTGACAATAAAAAAAAACTACCTCGATACTTCAACCAAAAGAGTTCTGTACAGTATTTACTTTTAAAAGTCAAACCGGTGTGTAAACTTACGCTTTAAATTTTAGCCGCAAGTGGTTAAATTCATTAGTGTCCAAAACAGAAGACAAAAAACGTCTTGCAAGAAATCGCAAATAAATTAAATCAACATCGCTCAACATTTCAAAGTACAATATACATTTACCTTTAAAGATAAGCATTTACTATATTAGTAATCTTAAAAGTCCACATTCGCCATCAGGGCAGTCTGAAAGCATTGCTGAAGATAGTTGCATCGTTTTTGCCAAAATCATTCCGTGTCATTTTGTTCAGGACTGGCTCATCTACACCAACTCTCCCGTGTCTCCACCACCTCTACATGATCTTCACCACTTCTTCATTCTCCTCCAACTCTACATCGTCTCCACCATCTCTCATCCCTGTCCCCACCACCTCTCCACTGTGTCTACCAAAGCTATATTTCTTCTCCTTCACTGCCCTTGTTACCTCCTCCGCTTCCACAGTACCCCCAGAGTACCACAGACGCTCAAGATGATGCTGCAGACGTTGAGAAGCCAAGGATGCTGGTGATGCTGCCGGACAGGTAAGGTGGACATTGGAGGATGTCAAGAAGCTTCGGGGGAGGTTCAACGGCCAACATGGAAATCGAGAGCTGGTAAAGACATTGAAAGGCCTGTGGAGGAAGCGGCGACGGTAGTAGTGGCAGTAGCAGTGATGGTGGTGGTGATAGTGGAGGTGGTAATGAGTAGTGGTGGTAGTGGTATTGATGGTGTTGTCGTCAATACCACTATCAGCACCACGATGGCAGCAGAAAAAAAGGTTTTGGTGTTGACAATGAAGCTAGTGGTGATGGTGGTCATGGCTGTGCTCACGTTTTTGGCAGTGGCACAAGTGCTGATGCGACCGAGCTTTGTGGCATTGGCAGTAAAGTGTGTGCAGTGGCTGTATTATTGTTTGGCGTTGACCACGATGTGAGTGCACATACATCGAACTTCTTTCGCATCGTACGTAGCCAATCGAAGATGCAGACAGCAGCAGCGGTTGTATTGCTGCCAGTGGTGTGTTGCTGGGCACAGTGGTTCAGTCGCCACAAACGTCCGCCTGACCGCACACGATCACGCACGTCCCCCATGTCCGTTAGAGCAGGTTGCACTTGAAGCACGAGCGGCCGCGGCGTTTGGACTGCTTCTGGATGGCGGCCCTGGTGGCTGTCTCGAAGACGAGACGCACACCATCCTTGGTTTGCGCAGAGCACTCCACGTAGTCGAAGGCTTGGATGCGAGACGCCATGGTCCTCCCATCCTCGGGTTTCAGGGGCTCCCGCTTGATGCGCGCCAGCTCTTGAAGCACGGATTCGTCACCACGGAGGTCCTTCTTGTTGGCCACCAGCACGATGGGCACATTGGGGCAGAAGTGCTGCACCTCGGGGACCCATTTCTCCGGCACGTTCTCCAGCGAGTCAGGGCTGAGGGGACACGGAAGGACAATGTAGAGCTGCAGCCCTGCATATTCCTGCTCATACCATGTTGGCGGAATGTAGTTCTACAGAGAACCCCCCAACTCCCATCACCTCCAGTGGATATATTTGGCTTATTCTTCCACGTTGATCAGACATCTTGGAAACCAAATCGGCCTCACTTTACATTGAGGCCGATTTTGTTTTAGGATTAGAAAATAGCAAAGCCCAAAACACAATCAGCTTGTAAATTAGGCCATGTTGCATCTCAGGCTGCCTGACACTAATCTGAAACCTTAATAAAAAAACACCTTGTATGGGTAAACGGGCAACTTAAGGAACCTTAGACATATTTGTGAGAGGTCACCATCCAAAGGCCGTTCTCTAAAAGAGGGCTTATCTGCTAGGGTCCAGGTAGACATTTCTTTACCACGTGACTTACCGCTCACAGCAATGTGTATGTATTTGCATGTCACAAGTTCTGTGGCCACCCTGTAATGTGCAACCACAATAAACATCTCTCCAAAGGAATACAAGATGTCTGTTTTACTATCCTCTACTGCAGGGGTGGGGAACCTGTACCGCCTGACCCTCGCCTGTCCTCATTACGATGTTCACTTCCAGCAGTGGTCACATTGAACGCCAATGTGTACCCATGTACCACCCTACCTGCCCACCAATAATCCCAAAGTAATGTGTCCATACCTCCCACCCTCACCAATCCACTGATAAATACATGATAATTCTATGTCCTAGGTATCCAACCACCTGGCCACCCTTTACCTGTCCACATTGAAGCCGATGTTGAGGTAATTTTTTTAACGACCATATTCCATCATCTTCCAAGAACACTCAAGATGATATCCACGTGTATCGGTCTGGGTGCCTCCACCCATCCCCACCTTCCTCACCTGTCCACGGAGAAGCACATGAGGATGACGTCGGTGTCAGGGTAGGAGAGCGGCCTTAGGCGGTCGTAGTCCTCCTGCCCGGCCGTGTCCCACAGGGCCAGCTCCACCTGCCTGCCGTCCACCTCGATGTCAGCCACGTAGGTCTCGAACACGGTAGGCACATACACATCGGGGAACTTATCCTTGCTGAACACCATCAGCAGACACGTCTTCCCACACGCACCATCTCCCACCACCACCAGCTTCTTGCGCGTCGTAACGCCCGCCATGGTCGTGCCCGCCAGCTGTCTCAACAGCAGCGATGTCTCTCCTCGATCTCCTCCTCCTCCCGCTGCTGTTCCTCTCCTCACTGTGGGGTCACGGCACACCAGAATATTTAAGCTGGAGGAATCCGATGAGCTATGAAGCTCACAAGTGATGTGACATTTATCCTTCGATTTAAGACCGAAGCAGGGAGGATTTATCCACATCTCTGGCCGTCTGCCTGATGGCGAAACGTCGTACTCTCCAAGACATCGGTGTCCTGAACGAGTATAACCAATTGTCACGTTTTGTTTACGTGACAAACCTTACTAATTGTCTATCGGGTGGTGGCGGGCTTAACGACGCATCTATATTTACAATATCTAACCCCCCAAACAAACACTCTGTCAAGGAGCTACAAAGCTCTTTCTCACAGATGCCATGAGGTGTACTCCATGACATTTCGGGACTCGAAGGTGATGGCTGTATCTGTGTTCTGTATGCAGCAGTGGACTGTAGACTGTTGCAGAGTAGACCGGAGCAGACAGGCCCCAAAGGCCGAACACATCGAGCGGCCAGCAACAAGCAGCACTTATCAACGTTTCAAGAATTAACGAAGAAATCCCGACGCGGCTGCGTCCACTCCCCCTGCTGAAGGTGCAGTATTGGGCCTACTCTTCCACGGTGGCCAGGCGTCTTCGAAATGGTACCGTAGTATTATATTATTGCATTATATTACATGATGGAGTGTCTATCATCCCCACATATCTTCTTGAACGACACGCATGGGCCCAAACTTATGTTGACGCACACGAGTGCCACTGCAGTAGTTCTCACAGTGCGCGTCTGCAGTGCACTGCAGACGAGTCGGATTCCAAGGTCTCAACGAACAAAATGCCAGCAACTGAACTAACCAATACATTTGGCAAACTACAGACGAAATGATCAAACCTCTTCCAAAAGATCCCACGTTATGGTCTTTAACAGACTGTTGGGGCGAGTGCTGTTAGCGAGCACCTATTAAGGCCGGCCCGGTAAACGAGGGGGTGGTTGGCCAACAACCACGCCACGCACCAGGTACTCATGAGGCCGAGTCGACCTAGGGGAGGCCCGGGACTGGTGGAATATAATGGGTCACTTGTTGTTGGCCGTGAACGGGAATCGAACTCGGGGCGACCGCGTTCAGTAGCGCGGTTCGCGAACCGCTTCCACCACCGCGCCAACTCTTAGCAACGTCTGAGAAACTCTTTACAACACTCAGACACACACTCAGACACACACACACTCAAAACACACTCAGACACACACTCAGACACACACTCAGACACACACACAAAGACACAAGAGACAAAGATCCCCCATATAGCCTTAACAGACTGTAGGGGCAAGCGCTGTTAGCGAGCACCTATGAAGGCCGGAACGGTACACGAGGGGGTGGGTGGCCAGAACCACGCCCGACCGCCTTTGTCTCCCTAGTGGCAATGTTTACACACCGCACCAGGTACTCATTTGAGGCCGAGTCGACCTAGGGGAGGCCCGGGACCGGTTCAGATAATCGTCACTGGTGTTGGCCGTGAACGGGAATCGAACCCGGGTCGCCAGGTTCATAGCGCAGACACACACACCCAGACACACACACCCAGACACACACACCCAGACACACACACCCAGACACACACACCCAGACACACACACCCAGACACACACACCCAGACACACACACCCAGACACACAACTCAAAACACACTCACACACACCCAGACACACACACCCAGACACACAACTCAAAACACTCAGACACACAACTCAAAACACACTCAGACACACACACCCAGACACACACACCCAGACACACAACTCAAAACACACTCAGACACACAACTCAAAACACACTCACTCAGACACACGACCCCAACTTCAACTTAGTCCGAAACATTCTACCGAACATCCAGCACACCCATCCCCCAACTCACCTCTCTAAACTCCTCGGGGTCCTTGCGCAACTTTGAGCCAACAACTTCTCTCCTTGAGACTCGCCGCAAAAACCCAGCGAGCGAACCGAAAACTTATTCCGACAATTGGAAGGGGAAAAAAATATAATAACCATGTGTACGGCCCTACAACAATACGACCATTCACCCGTGTAGAACAATCCTAATTGTCGCACGCGTTGCCCCTCCTGTGTTAAGCCCGCGTATGTGTGTGGGGAGGGGAAGGGGGTGAGCAGAGCCTGCCGCTTGCCCTTTGTTCACTGGAGATGCCCCCACCACAGTGACCACTCAACCGGCACCCACCGTCCCCTCTGCATGCAATGCGGGTCCCGCTGCTTCCCTCTCCTTATATTGCCCGGCCCGGTTCAGCTAAAAATAAACCTCCAATCAGAAGCCGCGCAAGCCTCCCCCCCCTCCCACCCCTACACTCCCCACCCACAAACTTACGCCCCGCCCCCCACACACTCCCGTCACTGCACGTTGCGAAACTCATTAACATAAATTTCGATTTAAAGCTTTCGTGACTGCAAGGATTCATCTTCTTTGGTTCTTTCGGTAAAGTCACGTAGAATGAGAATAAAATAATAAATTGATAAAATAAAATAACACAATAATATTCTCATGACGTTTCGGCCACAACACAAGCGGCCTTCATCAGGTGAAGGGACGAGACTGTCCTACCAGACAGACTGTCCTACCAGACAGTCTCGTCCCTTCACCTGATGAAGGCCGCTTGTGTTGTGGCCGAACGTCGTGAGAATATTATTGTGTTATTTCATTAACATAGTTGACGGTGAATTGGGCCAACACCGTTGATGATTATCTGAACTGGTTCTGGGCCCCATCTAGGTAGACTCAGCCTCAAATGGGTACCTAGTTGCGGGGGGTAAAAATCGCCCCGAGAGAGACAAAGGCGGCCGGGCGTGGTGCTGGCCACCCACTTCCCTTGTGTGCCGTTCCGGCCTTCGTAGGTGCTCGCTAACAGAACTTGGACATCTGTGAAATAGTCGCACTCAGTTCATAATATAGGGGTTTTTTGGGGGGTTAGATCGCGTAAATATAAATGTGTCGTTAAACCCGCCACCACCCGACACGGCCAATTAGTAAGGTTTGTCATGTAAACAGCACGTGCCAATTCGATTACTGGTACAGCACACCGGTGTGCTGGAGAGCAAATCCACAACATTTACAATCTGGCTGTCGACTGATGAAGCTAGTTGTAATTACTAGCGAAACGTCATACTCAAATTGTAAATGTTGTGGATTTGCTCTCCCAAACACCGGTGCGCTGTACTCGTAACGAATTGGCATGTTCTGTTTACCTGACAAACCTTACTAATTTAACGATATTTACGCGATCTAACCCCATTTTTTTTATTATGGATGATATTGGTCGCGAAAGCCTACGTGTTTAACTGTGAAATAGTTCTTCACAGCTCATCGGATTTTTCCAGTTTAAATAAAAGATTATGATTTTGCATCTGTGTCAGGTTAGACCCAGGTGTCATCACCTGTGTCTGTCCCGTGACCTCCTGCCAGCAGCGGGCCTTCGGCACTTCGCGTGGTCTCAAGATGCACCTAGCCTGGCACAAGCGCAGTGGTGACATCGACTTTAGTGGCGAACGGCGATTGAGCGCGTTTTATGTATCGGGGACGATGAATATCGCACCACCAACCCAGCGAGCCCGATTCCCGCTCACGACCAATATTCAGTGACGAATATCTGAACCGGTCCTGGGTCTCCACTGGATCGACTGGGGAGACAAAGTTGGCCCGCCGTGGTGTTAACCACCAGTCCCCTGATGTGCCGTGCTGGCCTTTGTCGGTGCTCACAAACAGCACCTAACAGTTTAAGTCTATACGGGGAATCTTTGTTGATTTTTTTCTACAGTATATGTGTGTTTGTCCGTGGCTTTGCCTTAGTATTTGTGGCCGGGTGGCTTCTGAAAAAGAGTTATATAGCTCAGTGGACCTTTCCTGGCCAAACAAAAATAAAACATAGTTTATATGCAGTGTGTTTGCGTGCGGGCGTGATAGACCGCCGGAATGGAGAGGAAACTTCTTGTTCATCAACCATCATAGAGAGGATGATGTCACTCCGCAGCACACACACACACGCGCGCGCGCACGTGCGTGCATCCCTGGCCCACTGTACGCAGCAGCACTTAACTCAGCCGGGGGGAAAGGAGGGGTGGGTGCAGTGATTAGCGCACTGTGCTACCTCGTCATCCGTAAAGCTGGAGGTTGTTTGTAAAAGGTCACAATACTTACAAGGATGTAACAGCTGGGCAGAGATCGTGCGAACTACCAAGAAAGCAGCAGGATGGCGCAGTGGTTAACGCTCGTGCCTCACAGCCAGTTATCCTGGGTTCGATTCCCTACTCGGGTGACTTTCTGTGTGGAGTTTGCATGTTTCTGTCCCTGTTCTGCATTGGGTTTCTCCAGGTTTTCCGATTTCCTCCCATAGCAAAAAACCATCCAATGCTGTAAAAGTTTCAGCCAATTAATCAATTGGGATTTCACACAGCAGCAACATCGCCCTCTATTGGGGAAACCTGATAAAAACCCGTCTGAAGCAGAGTTGAGAATCGGTGGGGCTTTCCTGCGGTAAACTAACGTAATAATGATGATAACGAAGGCGAACTGACAATAACCGCACATCAAGGCAGGGACCCTGGCAGAAAACAGAAATGGAAACATACGCTGCTGCAAGCCGCCTACACCCTGGAAAAGAGGATATCACTGGTCGAGACGGTGCTGTGGGCCAGACCAAAGTGAGTTGAAATTCCATGTCACGGATAAAACCACGAGTGGCGAGTAATATCTGACCCGGTTATGACCTGGCCTACCCCCCTCCCTCTCACTTCACTACACTCCATTGCGTGGTTAAGTGTGGTCAAATAATTCCCCATGACCGACATGGGGATCCCCCGTGGCTGGGAATTATTGCTATTGGTGTTTCGGTGAACCAGGTCTCGTGTGAAAGTGAGACTCTTCTGCATTGTCTGGCGAGTTATCACCTGGTTAAACAAATAAATGTGAACTTGAAAGTTTGATGAGCTCAAGTTGGCTTGATAGGGCAGTGATCGCGAGCCACTATCCACCCTCCCCCACATTGGAACAATTCAGTGGTTGTTTATGCCTGCGGTTCTAACAATAGATCGATGCTTAGTGACATTACAATAATGTTTAGTGTCTTGTTCTCAAAGCATTCTGACAGCCCTTTTAGATGCACACACGCGTGTGTGTGTGTGGGTGCAACCATGTGATGTCCCCAACACTGAGGGTTGGGTGGCCTCACGTTTCAAGGGCACTGAGTGGGCTGGGCGTTCGTTCCACTGTTCAGCTCCTCCCATGTCCCCCTCTTCTCTACACGCGAGACCAGTGGTGGTGCTGCCCAATTGGAGACCCTCAGCAGAAATTATTTTTGGACCCCCCCGCCCAGCCCCACCTACCCATCCCAGTTTTTAGATCCTGGTCAGATGACGGAAGAGATATAGATTACAGAAAAAATGGTGAGATGACAGAAATTTCTAAAAAAAGAGTAAGGTGATAGGTAAGAGATACAAACAAGATAGGGATATCTCACTCTCATATGGCATTTGAAGAGCAATTGGCAAGCCACAGCTGAGTCTGGTAATATATTTGATTAAATGAGGAGTTGTTTGATGTTTAGCGGCTGTGTCTCTTGTGTAAGCGTGTAATGGGCAGTGGTCAGTCAAATGAACAGATTGCACTTCACCACATTCACAAAAGGGGCGTGTTGAGCACGTGAAACGTATGTAACGGACTCAACACGCCCACGCACAACGCCAATGTTCGCATACATTGGCGCATGCATTCAGCCGCCCACTCGTTGAGGACGTCAGTTCATATGGACGCCCTGGTGGCGGATCATTAACGTTCAAGTGTCCGTGATGTACCCGGACAAACGACACCCATTACGCCAAACCTGGGCAATGATTGGTTGGTGAAAATTTAGACGAATGGGGAGTGCGGTTCTGAGATTCAGTGTTCGGGACGAGCGCTGGGCGTGTGTCCCTCGCCACGGTGTGGGAATAGGAATGGAGACGGGAGTTTTGTGTTGAGGTGAAATAAAAAATGTTTTTTTTACACGCTCACAAGAAATTGAGAGCGACTCAGCATCCTTTATAACAATGGGTGAAAGCATGTAAAATGAATTAGTTCAAAGAGGGAGGGGGTGATACTTTAGAACCCGGGAATGCAACCCTATTTTCCCCAAATGGCTATTATTTGTCGAATGTGGCTTTGGCCCAACATGGCATTTTCCAGGAACGTAACCCCCACGTTCGGCGAGGTATTATTGTACACCGGCATCTCATTGTTCAAAAATGATGGGAGGTAGCCATTCCAATGTTTTATGTTAATTGCCTTTTATGTTTATTGGGATCTGAATTCGAGTTATTTGGTCCAATCCTATTTTTTCATAAATCTGGGGCCCTCTGAGCTACATAGGGCCCTGAGCTCTGCTTGGTTTTCTTTATTCCGAGTGCCACGACTGCGTGAGTCACTCCTATTTTTTGCCTCTGTGCGGGTGCGCCCCTTGCCATCAGCCACAGTGGCCGTTACTCATTCATTGGTTCAGGATTCCCACGCCCAGTTTTAACAAAGCTGCACAAATCAATTAGTCACGGTTCAGCATGACCCTGCCCATTAGCACACTTAATATAACCATCCATTAACCCTTGAAAGCATTCACCTACCACCATTTGTACTGTAGACCCTACTCCATTGTTCTTTATTTAGCCCGGGTAAGCCTCACTGGGCGGTGACGTGACCCAGCGGGAGCGCGTTTGCCCTTTGTTGCAGAGGTTCCCGGTTCATTTCCAGCGTCCGCACTGATTAATATTGCGGGTGTAATAACCACAATACATGTATCCCGCTTTAACACAAGCGCCCATGCATGCAATTCTTAAAACGAGAAGCTGAGAACTGGTTGCGAGGGACTGGAGCTTTAAGATATTATCCACTAGTTGGAAGAGCTTGACATCCAGATGATCCGAAATAACACGATCTGATACTTTCCAGACATATTCTTCCACATGCAGAACGAATAAACTTCCAATGGCTGGATTATTTGTGGCGCAAGAGCGCAGAAGCGTGGTCACCACATCGACGCCTGTATATAAGTTAGACTTCTGCACAAATCTGGTTGTCGCCTGATGAAGCTAGTTGTAATTACTGGCGAAACGTCGTACTCCGATTGTAAATGTTGTGGCTTGGCTCTCCAACACACCGGTGTGCTGTACTAGTCACGAATTGGCATGTTCTGTTTACGTGATAACCCTTACTAGTTGGCTGTGTCGGGTGGTGGTGGGTT